TTTAATGCTGCAACTGGCGCGATATGGGCAATCAGCGATTACTACTATTCAGGGGCATCAATTGGCGCACAGACTAGGCGCCGTCAATTATGTAGAGACGTCTGCATTAACGCAACACGACCTCAAGGAAGCCTTCGATCAGGCGATAGTCAGTGCCCTCAATACGCGACGCGGAGGCGCCAATTTATTGTACCGGCGTAGGAAGCCGCCCCCGTTGTGGCGTAGATGGTTGTGTTGCTGGGAACGGCCGTCTTCGAGCGAGACCTAAACAATCCCTACTTTAAGTGATAGGACTCTATACTTCTTTAGAATCCCTCTGTGATCATAGGCGGTCGCCCTCCTTTCTGTCAGAATCGTCATCCCTCAGCACGGCATACTTGCTAGCTAGCGTTGATTGAGGATTATATAAAAATAGGGCAGCTATTTACTTTGTTATTTAGATTTTAGACAGGACGATTATTAATAGATATTCGCGTGAGTGAGAGTCGAGAGCAACCCTGAGTTACACGTGATGCTTTAACATGGTTCACTCATTTCCATACATCATTTAACATGCTATTTTATATATATCTTAAACACGTTTTTTCATGCATTTCACGAACTAACAAACTGCCAGAACAAAATGCCAAAATACGATGTTAGTTAGTAAAGCCGCCAGAAATAACGATGCCTAATTTGAAAGAAAAAGAAGGATCCATAATCAAGGGTTGCTCGGCAATATCGCGGTACAGTTTACAAATATATGAGTGACTTCGTCGAGAGTAAACGTTAATCAAATTAGCAATTCCGACAGACGGAGCAAGCGAGTGCCGCCCTCGTAAAATTCCTGAAGCCGCACGGCATAATTTATTGTAATATTAACCATTATTTTTGTTACTAGCATAATAATTGGCTACTCGTTGGTTGTGATTTTTCGTGTACGTAATATCCTTGTTTCGTCACGGTAAAGATCGGTTGTTTCCCATTTTTCCCCTTCCCTTATCAAGGATATTAGGTGGCTTTTATTGCGACCACCATAGCGTATAACAATTGTATATTTTTTACTTGTTGCAACCTCTCGTATATATATAAATATATATTTATTTTTTAATATCTTTGATATATCGGTATTTTAGAATAACGATAGCTTTAACTGAACACTTTTTGCAGATCGACGATATGATCGTGACATCACATATAGAATTTATATATAGTATATAAGTGTTCTAAGTTCTAATAATGGAATAATGATATTTCGTAAAATACGATTTTTTATATAAGCGTATGTGATGTAGTAACGTTTGTATGAGCGATATCAACCGTATAAAAGAATATCAAATACAATGAGAAAGATAAACGCGAGTACATATTCGACGAATAACGAACGTACTTGAGATTGCTAGGAAGATTGCTGTGATCTTACTTGAAACTTTCTACTGATTATTCTATTGTGTGTTGCATACGGAATTGTATGAATAAGACTGCAGAAAAGATTTAAAGACTCTGCACGGTATTGTAGTCTCAATCTGCTGTAACATTTCATCTCCATCACATGACATCATCAAAAATAAATTGTATATAAGTATTTATTCATCGAACAATAAGAATGTGTTTGTTATTTTATGATTCAGTCTGTCAGGAAATATTGTCATTGACACAACTCTATTCGTATCGTTAAAACGTAGAAAAATAAAACTAAGTAATTGTATCGCTATTAGATAAGATATTAAAAAATTAAAAATGTGCCAATCATTCTTCTTGACAGGATGTGCGTCATGATTAAGAGTAGAGATAACATTTCTTATAGCCTTGCCTCTAATTTTTCTGTATTTCACAAAATTTTAATTTTTGTATCTTTTAATTTTCACTGATTAGCCTTTTTTTAATGAATATTGCAATTTTGTATTGTTAACAAAAGACGGTAGTGTAAGGCGGGCAAGGATTCTTTTACGAAACCGTCTTGCGAGCAGAGTAAGAAAGAACTATCGTTCACAATCCGCGAGAGGCAATGAAGAATAAGGAACTCTCGGGCCATAGAGTTATGTCAGGAAAAGGATAAGCTAGGCTTAAGCCGGATAGGGAGAGCAAAGGATTGATCTCAGGATAGCAGTGAATAACACGTTTTATTGATCGCGATTACTTGTTGACCTTTCTAACAACTACACACACACACCATCGTCGAGTCACACTCGTCGCCTACCTTTTTCTTCTCTTGTCTTTCAAAAATATCTCAAGCGACCAATCAGGGTCGCTGTAATGGCCGATAGCCAATCACGCTCCTTCTCACTAGAAGTGGCGCCATGAGCACTAGTGACGGCGCACGGAACGCCATCAAGCGGAATAATGTGGACTTAAAGTAAAGTTGGCGATGAGACAGAGTCTCTCTTACAGTAGAGTCATAATTTGTCATATAAGTTATCTGTTGGCACAAATTTAATTATTTTAAACGAGAAATTTGCTTTAATATTTTTATTGATTAGTATTTATTTTTTAATTAATACTACAACTTTGTATTGTCAACAAAAGGCAATATAAAAGTTATAAATTTGCTTTGGACAAGAGAAGTCTTTGCTTTCTATTTTATCAATAGTGAGTATATTCCATGAGACTTGCTATCAATACACGGTACATCGAAAATAGTAATAATAGGAATGGGAAGGAGAGAGAATTCACGACTCCACGTGCGCCTCGCGATCCCCAAGAAACGATGGCGAACCGAGTGGTCGGCAGCGCGACAATAAACACGTCTAAACAATTGTATAAATATCTATTGCGCGAATGCGAAAAACTACCGAAACATACGCAGCAATTTTACAAGCACTCGGTCAAGCAAGTAAGTACAAAATATAATTTTCTGATATAATGATAATTTAACAAAAAAGTTAAAGAATGTTAAACTATTAAATCTCATAACAATTATCAATTTTTGCAAGAAAAGTAGATCTCTTGTAGCAAATTGTCTATTAATAAGATAAACTTTTGTTATTGAAGACAAAAATTTTTTCCTAGAGCTTCAAACAGCATGTCTCGGAGTCCGATGAAGAACGTATCCAGCAAATCATGGAGAAAGCACTACTAGATGCCAAATGGGTGATACAAAAGGTTCTCTCCTCATTGACTTGTATTAAATTCGATATTTGAATATCAGTAATAACTTCTGCCTTTTTCTTTACGACAGTATAACCAGCCAGGTAGTACTCCAACACCCAAATGATAAATCGACGTAAGTTGTAATATACACGAAATATATGTGGCAAATTAGTATTAGATAGAAAAAAAATGGATTTTGAAGAGGTTGTTAGTGAGACCACTAACAGCAGTAACTCACAGTTCTGGAACGCCATTGGAATCTGGATGAGAAATCCTCATGTTGTTAATCGTCGGATCCTAGCATCTCAAGAGCTATTAACGGTCCAAGTCAATTGTGACGTTTTAGATATTTTCGAACATGTTGAAAGGCTGAAAATCCAACCTGATGATTATGAGTGCGACTCATCCTCGGGAGATGTAAAATATTTATTAGACACTTTAGATATTGCGAAATATTGCCAAGTTCAATATACTGCAGATCTAATTGAGACTGTGAACGACGATAAGATTTATCTATGTGTGAAAAAACTATTGCCTCGAAACACACAAATATTCTCGCCTACGTTGGAATTCGTATTTATTGACAAAAAATCGGTTAGCATTACCAGTTTTCACAAACCGATTGTCCTAGGTAAACAATCTCTGGGTTTGAATACAGCCTACAGAATACAACATCACGAGTATGCATCTACGTGTATAGACGTATGTAAATCAAACGATAATTACAGTAGAAGCTGCGATTGGCTCAAGTCTAAGTTCTTTCCACGATTGATAAAATGGATAAATAGTGAAAACGATAACGTCGGTCCGAGGATCAGTTCCCTTAGTCTTATCTCTGTCGAGAAGTACACCTTGCTGTACAATCGACTGAAAGAGAAGTACGGCATGGGAATGGTGAACGTGTGGCCAGAGAACACCGACCCGGCGAAGTTCGTTTACGAGGATGTCGCGATTGCTACTTACCTGTTATTACTCTGGGAGAAGGAGAGACTGGAAAAGGGAACAAAGGAGCTGCAATCATTTGTTGATCTCGGCTGCGGAAATGGCCTTCTGGTCTACATCTTGTCTAGCGAAGGTCACACAGGGACAGGGATCGATTTGCGCAGGAGAAAGATCTGGGACCTATTTCCAAAGAGCACTCATTTACAAGTGTGTGAAAAATTCTCTGCAATCGTTATCTACTTGAATAAATTTAGATATTATATCAGTCCATAATTAAAAGCCTGCATTTCTCTTTTGTTAACAATTTTTGTAATTTTATAAGTAATATTTTTTTCCTACTATCGTGCGCAAAGTTCGATTTTGCACACGCATTTGCGTGCGCAAAACGCTGCGTAGGTGTACCCACACTCGCTCTTTTGTCGCCCTCGCTTCGCTCGGGCGACAAACTCGGCTCGTGCGGGAATCACCTACTTTGCGCACTTGTATCGTAATATACTATTTCATATATATCAGAAATTGATAAACACAAACTTATGGACTGATATAATATTTAATAATGCTAATATTCATTTTATTATGTAATATAATTTTAATTACATCAGTCCATAATTAAACTCGCGTTTCTTCTTCGTTAGCAATTTATTATGATTTTATAACTAATACTTTTATTTCAGTATTAGAAATTGATAAATTTATAGACCAATATAAAAAAATTTAACAATGCTAATATTTATTTTATGCAATTATAATTTGGTCTCACTTTAATTATGTCAGTCCATAATTAAGCTCGCATTTTTTCTTCGTTAATAATTTATTGTGATCTTATGGGTACTCTTTATTAATGTGTTTAGGAACAGATAAATGGACTGATATAAATTTAATAATGCTAATATTAATTTTTATCAGATTTAATTTCGTTTTGTTTCAATAATCATATGGTATTGTAGGTCGGCACAATCATTCCATCCTCAGATACAGTCTTTCCCAATGTAGACTGGATCATAGGGAATCACTCGGACGAACTCACCCCGTGGATTCCTGTGATCGCTGCGCGCAGTTCCTATGAGTGCCGATTCTTCTTGTTGCCGTGTTGCGCCTATGAATTCGATGGTAGCAAGTATCGACGATGCAACGCTGCCGAGAGTCAGTACTCAGAGTACATGTCCTACGTTAAAAGCGTTTGCAAGGATTGCGGCTTCTTCACATTAGTGGACAGATTGCGAATCCCATCGACCAAGCGGACTTGTTTCGTGGGATGGAAGAGGACTTACGCAAAGGAGAATATCGCGATGCTGGATGCCGATATTCAGAGGATTATAAACGCGAGATCCCAGGTGGAGAGTGTAAGAACTGAAGCGGGAAACAGCGAACTGTGGTCCGTGAGTTTCAAACCGAGGGACTCGACAGAACAAACACGGAATTGCACACAGTTGGATAAAGGACTGATCCTTGAGATAGTCAATATAGTCGTGGCACATCTCCTGCGCGTGAGTCGCAGAATACCATTGGAGCGGAAACCCGTTAAAACGTGGAACGCCGGTGGACAGATCGGCATCGGCGAGGTGGCGAAGCTGATCGCGCCCGAGATGCTGCAGCAGCTGCGAAACGAGTGCGGCGGGCTGCAAACCTTATTGAAGAATCACAGTCACATCTTCTGCGTCGCTCAGGGAAAGGTGCAGTTTAGGATTCCCGGTACTGTTGACAAGAAGAAAAAGAGGAAGAAGAATGCTAGTGCACCTTTAAGGAAGGTGAAACCTTGTTGGTTTCACAAGAACCATCCCGACGGATGTCCCGCTCTCGAAATCGACTGTGACTTCCAGCATTAAGTTTCTCTTGTTTTGTTATTCTATATTGAGAAGTTTTATGTACTTATCTATGTTGAATCAAACAAGTATGTAACAGTGCGTTTTATTTTAAATAAAAGAAAATAAATGTTAATTGTTTCGATGCTAAAAAAAAACGAAATTCTCGTACAACAGTTTTACATGTAGCTCGGCGATACAAAATATAACAATAATCAACTAAACAAAATTAAATTACATCTCGAGTACAGCATACTGTTACAGCATTAGATACATAAAATAAAACATTCATCACAGCTTTGATTTACTTAACGTTCGAAATCTTTCATCCATATCTTTTCATCATTTAAAAGTGTAATATTTAATCATCGATAAATTCATCTGTGGCATGTCTTTAATTAGTACATTATATTACATATACAAGCGATTTGCTTGCAAATCACAGGGTTGATTTTCTCAAAAGGACTCCTTTTAAGACATTTACTTGAGAAAATCTACCACCAGTATGTCGTCGAGGTTTAGCAGCTTAGTAGTGCCGCTTTGATTGTCTTGTAGAAGCGTACCCAACATCTGCTGGCCACTCTTCAGCTTTTTAACATCGAGCATGACCGTCTGATGGAAGCGTTTTAGATGTGTCTGTAAGTTGCATTTCTGCGTGAAAAGGCGCTTGCAGTGCGGACAAGAGTATGGCCGGTCACCGGTGTGGTGCTGCTGATGCAGATGCAGCGTAAATTTTTGCGCAAACGACTTGCCGCACTGCTCGCACTTAAACGGTTTTTCCCCTGTATGAATGCGTTTGTGTCGTTCCAGTTGATATGGCTTCATGAACGTTTTTCCGCATACGTCGCACTCCTTGCTTGAAAGTTGCGCCGAAGCTTTCGCCTTAGTTAATGTCGTCATCATCGTCGTTTGATTACTCGTTTTCGCTTCAAACATACCGACGCTATTTGTATTTTGAGTCTGAATTTGTACCATAGACACAGGAGGCATACAATTGTTCATCTGAATAACTGCCGTGTTGCTCGTATCCGCGGTCGTCGTCTCCGCTGGCACCTGACTGGTTATCACCACGTGATTAGCGTTACCCAAGTTGCAAGCTTCCTGAAAAGGATCCGGATTAACTAACTCGATCATGTTAGTTGGCATTCCGCCGCCGGTAGCATCGGAACTGTTTGTCGTTGATTGCGTCAACAGGGTATCGTCCGTTTGAAAAGCTACGAGACCATTTGCCAACAAGAACTGCAGATTCGCGACTAGTTCGTTGTTTTCGTTCACAGACAGTATGGAATTGTTATTGAGGATTGTCGTCGTCGTGTCGGTATGATTAAACGCAATTTGATTCGGCAGATGAACCGCGGTACCGAGATTCACTGTTTGCTCTAACGTGGGATAATTCAGATTCTGCGATGGCGCGGCTTCATCGTTGATTATGGCAGTAGTTGTCGTTGTTGACGCATTATCAAGAGGACTATTGCCGAGTTTTTCGAGGCTGGCCGCCAATGCTCCCTTGCGTGTTTCAACATATGTACCTTCTTGTGACCCGAAGTGCGGAATCGAAGATCGCACACGAGACATTTATATGGTTTCGAACCTGAAAGATTTAAGACGTATATATAATTATGCATTATCATTTTTCTTTCAAGCTAAAATTCTCATATTTAACATATGTAACTCTAACATTTAACTCGTCATCTGAGGTGTTTTACATCCCAGCGAAAAAATGCGAATTGTAAAATATTGTTTTATATGGATATAGTTTAAAATATTCAACAATTTCTTTCGTTTTTAGTAACTATTCTTTACGAACTTTTAGATGTGCAATTCCATCGACAATAAAAAAGCGTTAAAACAATTAAATTCTTTTTTTAGAAATATTATAATAATATAATACCTTAATAAGCTACTTAACATGCTTATTCTGTATTAATATTTGTTTCTACTTACTTTTAAAAAAAAATTATGATTGAATTGATTTTCATAATATTCTAAAATATTTTCAAATCGGAAAACAATCAATAATAATATGCGATATGTTGTTAATCATTATTTTAATTGAGATGTAAAAACGTTCCAGGTGATTGTATTTACATAAAAAAATCAGGTGACTATTCCCGGATTAAAAGGTAAAATATTTAAATAGTAGAATTCTTCTTATATTGTAATTATGTCTGATGTTGTGTGTAGAACATAAAATTATGATACATAAAATAATTCTGGAAATTACCTGTATGCAATCGCATGTGAACCTTTAAACTGCCCTTTGTAGCGAACAAGCTGCTGCAGACGTGGCAGCAGAACGTCTTCTTGCCCGTGTGAACCTTCATGTGCGAGTCCAAAGTACACTTGACCGCGAAGCTTTTGTTGCAGTGATCACACTTGTAAGGTCGTTCACCCGTATGCGTGCGAATGTGCCTGATGAGATCGCTTGGTTTGCGGAAAGTTTTCGGACAGTACTTGCATTTATTAGTGTATTCTCTTATCTCTTTCTTCACTATGTTCTCCTGAACGATCAAATAACGTTACAACAATATTATCAGCCGTTTAACAAATGCAAGACTTTGCGAACCAATGCAAATATTTGCATGTACTTACATCAGCGCGGTCCATGCTTTTTTTCTCGGCGACTGCGGCCATCAAAACCTTCTCGGAAACTGACGGGTTTGAATCTGCTCGGACATCCAGCGACATTGTTAGATCGGATGGTAAACCAGAACTCGAGGAAATAACATTCTTCTGAGAGCTGTCCGGCTCCATGGACAAAACATTCCAAGTTGCGGTGTGCATTTTACTGTGATATTTCATTTGCAGTTTGCTGTCTAGTACTTTCTGACATATCGTGCATTTCCATCGCCTGTGTGAAAAAATTTATGATCTTTCATTGAGAAACATCTCTCATTGTTATCAATCAATTCACTTACTGCTTATTCATGTGCATCTTCAGGTGCTTACTGAGACCGCGGTTTGTGCAGAATCGCTGGGAACACTCGGAACATTCATACTCTTTGTCACCGCGATGAGATTTCAAATGTTCCTGTAATAATTATGTTAATTTTACATAATTTAGAAAGTAGTTGCAATTTTATGTTTTAATATATGAATATCTAGAAAATGTTTCTCATACCTTCAATCTCTCTGTCGTGAAACCTTGATCGCCGCACACGTGACATTGCAGCAAAGTGTTACACTGCGATATTTTGACTGAGTTGTCTGTTATGCCAGATGAAACAAGCATCTCCGATGGCATTGTACTTTGAAAATTCTTCCTACAAGCATTGCATTCTTTTAATTGTTCGACAGTAAAACAATTTTACATATGAATTAAAATAACTTACATGAAAGAATTTCTTTCGTTTTCACACGACTTAGCATTACTTTTTTGTGATGCCTTTTCATGCCCATTTATGCCTTGCATCTCCGATCCATTCGTGGTATCCGCTTTCGCGATGACTTTTGAGTACTTCGACGGGCATACTTGCGAAAGTCTCACTAATTCCGAACAATTTTCCTTAGGATTTATTACCACCAGATGAGTGTTTCTCGTAATTTGAGAAGCATCTATATTGCTAGCTGTAGTAACTGGAGCTCGTTGTTTCTCTTGTTGACTTCCCACGGATCTGGGCAAAATACTGGACATATTCATAGAGTTGTTCGGATTTAAACCAATGTCTATATCGTTATCCGTCTGAAAAATGGATTATTAGTCATTTCATGCTTATAAAATATTAATACTTCATTAAAATACATGCTTTTATATAGATATACATAAATAAAATCATTGCTTCTGCATAGAAAATGTAATTACCTGCAACGTTATTTGATTCATATCAAATGAATCAAATTGCGACATGAATATGGTATTGCCTGACGATTCCAGAGATTTGTTATGTTCATATATAATATTGAGCACCGGCTGTTCTCTAGAATTGTCGAGAGAATTTGTGTTCGCTTCGTCCATCTGCCTCGGCAAATTGTTTGTTCCCAGCTCGAGATTCATGCCCATGTTGAATAACTGCTGATTTAGAGTCTCCTCTATCTCTCGTATACTTTCCTGCAAGTTTTTTTTAAATTCATGCATCTTTCTTTACATTACACAATACATTTATGCATCTTTTATGAATATTGAACTTATGTACCGGCGTGAAAGTTTGATCCCCTGAGTAATTAGGTAATGTGATAGCACCAGTTTCATCGGCGTGTAAAGTTTGCGACGTTCCTAAATTAGTTGTGTCAACAGATAAATTTTCTGAAATTATATATATAAGATTCAGCTTTAACTCTCGTCAATTTCTAAATTCTCTTCATTAAATTTATTTTTATCGAATTTTATATATAATTTTTGGAAAACATACGATTCACTATCGATGGCGTTGTATTGTCCGGTAATAAAAAGGATTTTTCTTTCTCCGTGTTAATATTTTGAAACTGATCAGAGAAAGCCTGCGTAAAATCTGGTGCCATTTGCGGTTGAAACGACACCTCCATATCTTCGGTGAGAGTAATGCTCTCCGGTAATGCTGATGTAGCTTCCTTAGCTTCGCTCGAAGGCTGTGAATCCTTCTGAGCTTGCATCTTTTGTTCCTCCAATTGCTATTTACGTGTATAAAATTTTAATAATTTCTAATATTTGTTGTAGCATTACACTAGAGAGCTTAGAAGAAAACCTCAGCATGGGATTACATTTGTGTTTTTGTCGTACGATAAGGCTGTTCAAACCTGTTGATTGGCTACAAGACAGAGAAGTTCTCGTATTTCTGTCCTGTCCTAGGCTCTCTAGTGCATTCTAGCGTACATTAAATATACCAACCCGTTGTGCCAGCTCGTGTTTGTGCCTCTTCATGTGCTTTCGGCAATTGACATATGTCTTAAACGTTTTGTGACAGTATGGACACATGTATGGCCTTTTATTGCTATGTGTGACCAAATGCCTCTTCATGCTGCTTTGCGTGGAGAATTTCGTGTCGCATACAGAACAACTGTACGGCCTCGTATCGTCGTGCGTATGTAAGTGAGACTTCAGAACACTGTTCGATGTGAATCTCCTGCAAACCAGAAGACATAAACATTTTGGTCAAATATGTTAAAATTTAAATTAGTCAATAGATTGATTAAAAAATTTGTTTTTGTATTTCTATATAGTTCTTATGCTGAAGAAACTTTTTGATCATAGACTAGAAACGGATTCTAGATCGAACCTGTCGCACTTGGAACACTTGTAAGGACGTTCGCCCGTATGCCTGCGAAAATGTTGCTTCAAGTGACTAACTTTCCTGAACGCCGCATGACAAACCCAACATTTGTGCGGCCTGGCCACGCCGACACTTTCGTATAATTGTTTCTGTTTCGACTGCACCTGTGCCACACTGATTTTATTACCAGCATCACTAATGACGAGCGGTTCTTGCAGTACCACTTGCGGCACCAGACTTTCCGCCTCCGGCGATATCTTGGGTTTCTCCCGCGTATGGCTCTTCATGTGATTTTTTAGAATGGTGCTTGCGCTAAATGATTTGTCGCATATATTGCATTTGTGCGGTTTTGTGTGTAATCTGAAATGAGGAATAGGTCTTTATAAATAATAAAGGATAAAAAAAAGTCTAGAATAAAAGTTTATAGACATAGAACTGAGGACATAGAGATGAAAATATACATTAAATATGAAAAAAATGAAGCAAGAATAGATACATATAGGATAGATAAACATAAACAATGAATTAAATCATATAAGAAATATTAAAACTTGCTTTGTGTGAGCGGTAAGACTGTTATGACACGCAAAGGTTTTGTCGCAGGACTCGCAGGCATATTTCTTCACTCCAGTATGAGTCCGCTCATGCGCTATCATTGTCGATTTTAGCGCAAAAGAACGTACGCAATACATACACTGAAAAATGTAGAATAAATCAGAGATGATCGCAATCTATATTTTCAAACAAAATAAAAATTAACTTACCTTGAAGGGTTTCTCTTGGGTGTGCACGCGCAAATGACGTATTAGATCCGACGGCTTTTTGAATTCTTTTGGGCAAAATGAACACGCATACCACCGTATGTTTCCTACGCAGCGTTGTTTTATAGTGAGATACTTCCTGTGGATATAGATAATTGCTTTTTTGTTACGCAACCATGATAATACA